ACAAACATATCACTACAAAGATTACCAGTACATGACAGTGAAGAAAGGAGAAAGTGAACAAGATGACTAATCTTGAACAGAAATTTGAAAAAATCAAATATTAATTCCTCTTAACAACAATATTTATGTCTAGATATATAAAGAAAACCATCTACATTGGTAGAAATGTTAATTAAGTAATAAATAATCATTTTTTTGTGTTCTAGGGGCATCTGACGCACAAAAACAGCATGATGTGAATTATCTGCTGTTTAAAGTATACGAAGGTGTACGTGATGAAAATCTGCAAGAACTCGGCAAGACTTTCGACCCAGAAGCTGACACATCACACTATTCTGACAATGGAGAAGCCGTCCACAAGCTCGTAAAAGAATTGAAGGACAACAGGCTGCTCCAACAGAAACACTGGTTCTCCCTCTTTAATACACGACAGCGTGAAGAAGCACTTCTGCTCTATGACGTTTTGGAACACAGCAATGACTGGCAAACATTTGTCGGCAATGCTGCATATTTCAGAAATCATGTTAATGAAGGAGAATTTGTTTATGCTTTATATGCAGCAGTCGTCCACTCTTCAATTACCAAAAACGTTGTACTGCCACCACTTTACGAGGTAACCCCACATTTGTTCACAAACAGTGAAGTTATCCAGCAAGCCTATCATGCCAAGATGACACAGACACCTGGTAAATTCAGATCCCACTTTACTGGCAGTAAAAAGAACCCCGAGCAACGTGTAGCATATTTCGGCGAAGATATTGGCTTGAATACCCACCATGTTACTTGGCACTTGGAGTTCCCATTCTGGTGGAACGACAAACATGAAGGATATCACCTGGATCGTAAGGGTGAAAACTTCTTCTGGGTACATCACCAGCTCACTGTTCGGTTCGATGCTGAACGTCTGTCCAATCACTTGGACCCCGTTGATGAACTTCACTGGGAAGCAACCATCGAGGAGGGTTTCGCTCCTCATACAACTTACAAATATGGAGGTGAATTCCCATCTCGTCCTGATAATATTCACTTTGAGGATGTCGACGGTGTTGCTCGTATTCGTGACATGATAATTCTTGACACCCGTATTCGTGATGCCATTGCCCATGGATATGTTACAGCTCATGATGGATCCACCATTGATATAAACAACTCCCACGGAATTGATATCCTGGGTGACGTCATTGAATCTTCTAATTACAGTCCTAACGTTGAGTACTATGGTTCTCTCCACAACACAGCTCATATATTGCTAGGTCGCCAGGGAGATCCACATGGAAAATATGACTTACCCCCTGGAGTACTGGAACACTTTGAAACTTCCACACGCGACCCAGCATTCTTCAGATTACATAAGTATATGGATAATATCTTCAGGGAACACAAGGATAGTCTTACTCCCTACACCAAAGAAGAGTTAGAGTTCAGTGGGGTTGCTATTGATGGTGTTTCAATTGATGGCCCTCTAGAAACGTTCTTTGAGGATTTCGAATATAGCTTAGTCAATGCTGTAGATGACACACCTCAAGTTGCAGATGTTGCTATCTCTACTGTTGTGTCTCGTCTTAACCATAAAGACTTTTCATTCAAAATTGATATTACTAACAATAATGATCATGAAGTATTGGCAACAGTCCGTATCCTAGCCTGGCCACACCGTGACAACAATGATATTCCCTACACATTCAACGAGGGACGCTGGAGAGCCATCGAGCTAGACAGGTTCTGGACAAAATGTAAGTAGAATTTGCTGTTTTCCTGAAAGTTCGAATGTTATGAGTTAAGAAGTAATGTAATAATTATATTGAATAAAGGTATTAAATTTTCATTGTTTATATAAGAAAATTTATATATATTTAATTGACGACATAACTTATATAATGTACATTATAAACTATATGTTTTGTTATCCCACTAGTGAGTGCTGGTGTGAACCACATCGTTCGCAAGTCTACTGAGTCAGCAGTGACTGTTCCTGACGTACCCAGTTTCGATTCTCTGATAGAGCGAACTGAGGCTGCACTCGCGGCTGGTAGTAGCGAAGTCGACATTCATGAATTCGTGAGTGCAGTTGGAGTGCCGAACAGGTTCTTGATCCCCAAGGGTAACTCAGAAGGTCTAGAGTTCGACCTAGTAGTGGCTGTGACAGACGGCAAAGCTGACGCTACTGTAGAAGATGTACATGAACATACCCATTTCCATCACTATGGCTACCACGGAGTGTATCCCGACAAACGACCACACGGTTATCCTTTGGATCGTCGTGTAGATGATGAACGCATCTTCCACGACCTTTCCAATTTCCACCAACATGTCGTCAAGATCTACAATCATTAAATTTAAAGAAAAAAGACCTCGATAATAATATGCAGTATTTTTTTTTTTTTTTAAATAATGAAGATTTTGTTCATGTTACTTAAATAATAAAGATGAAGATAATTTTAATTTTTATTATTCCATATTTCCATCATAATTTTTCTGGGCAAGAAAACTATATATTTTATTTATAACACTGTAACGTCATAAATTAGTAATTTATAAAATAACGTCATAAATTAATAATTGACTTGGTAGGTCAAGGTTAAACATTGGATTATTCATTCGATACTTTAAATTTTATATATATAATTAATACTTTATTGACTTGCTAAAACTTGTAGTTGAGATGCATTATGAATCCTTTATCAGAGACGTCGTAAATTCCTTGTTGTCGATTAATAAAGCCGTGAGGAGTTGTCTATGGATGTGACAATACTCAAGTCAAGCAAATTATCCCATCAATTTAGATCTACTTTCTGCTTAAATAATTAAGTCTAGAGGACTTTTTCTGCGAGTAATCCTACTTAATTTGTGGATTCCTATGAAACTAAATTATTACTACATTTCAATTTATATATATATATATATATATATATATATATATATATATATATATATATATATATATATATATATATATTATATATATATATATATATATATATATAGTGATAGATGTAGTAAGATTAAAACTACTAGGAGCATCAGTCATTGCCCCCATAAATAGCGTCTTGCTTGGTGCACCTCTGGAAGCAATGTCAATGACACAATTCTCAGAAAGAAACTGGAAGAGTTGAGAAGACTGGAACAACGAATAGGCAATCTTGACACCCATGGTGTCATGTACCTTCTCACAAAGTGCGTGAGTCTTCAGAGGTTAACATATTTCCCAAGATGTGCACCTTCATATGATAACCCTATACTGCAGGAATATGACAGTATCCTGAGGCAGATTTTTACGAAAGTACTTAACCTTACTCTAGAAGACTGGCAGTGGAACCAAGCTACACTTCCAGTCAGACTAGGAGGCACTGGTGTCTGCAATTATCATAGATTGCACTACCTACTTTTCTGTCCTCATGCGTTGCATCCAGAGGGCTTGTAGCAACAATTTTCCCTGAACATCTTAGGGACAGGATTGGAGTCCTTGACCAAAAGTACGTTGGCAGAGCCATGATTTGGGAAAAACTAACAGGCTCTAAACTAGACCTGCACCCCCAACAACTACAAACACTCTCAGTGGGATGGCCCAGTAGTGGAGAACATAGCCTCAACAATGCTTCAGAGTGTGTCGGGGAAGGATAAAGCCCTCCTGCTGGCGGTGAGAGCTCCTCATGCAGGTAACTTTCTGTTGGCTGTTCCCAATTACAGCCTTGGCACACGCCTCGACCCACAGACCATCCGCATTGGTGTTGCCCTTCGACTTGCCGCCTCTATTCTCGCCGAACACAGGTGTATTTGTGGCAGTGAAGCAGCAGACCGATTTGGGTACCATGGTCTTGTGTGCCGTAAATCCGAGGGAAAGACTGCAAGACATGAATAGGTTAATAACATTATCGAGAGGAGCCTCACAACAGCCGGATGCCCAACAGTAAGGGAGCCACCCCAGCTATGCAGATCTGATGGCAGCCAGAAGCGTCCAGATGGTATCACACTTCAAGCCTAGACAGACGGCAAGCAGGTGGTGTGGGACTACACATGTGCATCTACTTTGGCTGACAGCTATCTCCAATACACCAGTGAGGAAGGAGGAGCAGCTGCCAGCTTCAGGGAGTCCCAAAAGTATAGAAAATACGGAGACCTTGCCCATCATTATGTTTGTTCCCATAGGCTCGGAGGCCCTTGCGTCAAGAGGAAAGAGTGCATCTAAGTTCCTTAAGGAGCTAGGCAAAATACTCAACAGGGTAACTAGGGATCCCAGGGCAGCTAGTTTTCCTGTTCCAGCGACTCAGAAGGGTAATGCCTGCTGTATTTTGGGCGCGTGCCCCAGCTCTGAGGAGCTGGATGAAATTTTCGCATTATAATCAGTGACAAACATATAACAATATGTACTAGACATGTATCTCTCACACTTCATGTACTGATATATATATATATATATATATATATTATATATATATAAAATATATATATATATATATATATATATATATATATAATATAGGTAAATAGGTAAAACTGGTCAGTTAGCACGAAATCATTTAAAATTAAGTCCTTTCTATAATTTTCTCATATATTTTTAAAGTTATTTTTTTTAATTTATGTTAATGCAAAAAAAATAATAATTTTCTATCAAAGGAACCTTAGAAAACTTACCTAACCTTATTATAACAAGCGCAATTTAATTTAGACTAATCCAACTAAATATATTTTAGATAAGTTTACAATAATTTAATAATAAATAAGCACACTCTAATATATATTTTTTCGTTAGTTTAGAATGATTCTTGCGAAATTATTACATACACAAATTTTTATTGCCTTTTCGGCAAGAAGAGCGTTGCTATTTGCCAAAATCATAAGTTTTACCTATTCAGCACGACATATACATGTCTCTAATTATATATATAATTAGATAGAGAGATTATTATAAGTAAAATTAAAAATGCGTAAAAGTATAGCGTTTAATGCTGATAACTGCATTTATATAATTGCATTGTTATCAGAGAACTAGTTTGGGGCCACTTGTAGTTTAGGGGTATATATAGCGAGACTGACAAGGGGCTGCTCATCACCAACATGAAGGTCTTGGTGTTCTGTGCTCTAGTGTCAGCTGCCGCCGCTTGGCGAAATTATGGCTTCGTGAACGACGAGGCTGGTAAGTATATTGTTGCAAGTTATATCACTGGACACTCCCGGAGTTGTTGATACGCTAGAATTTGGCATTGTCACGTTTGCCCCGTGCCCTGGTGGCAACAGCTCTCGCTTCATACGGCGAGGGGTCCGGGTTCGATTCCCGGCGAAGGGGTGGAGACATCGGACGCGTTTCCTTACACCGGTTGTCCACGTTCACCCATGAGTAAAATGGGTACCTGGGTGTTAGTCGACTGGTGTGGGTCGTATCCTGGTACAAAACTGACCTAATTTTTGCCCGAAATGCTTTTCATAACAAGGGGCTTTTAATATGTCACTGATGTCAGCTATGGTCTGTATACCTTGTACATGTACTTGTAGTAAATAAAGATATTATTATTATTATTATTATTTATTATTATTATTATTATTGCGATGAAGACGAACGCCCTTTAAAACAGGAAGTTTGCAGTAACGGTCATCATTGCTCTTAGCCTGTACGACTAATCTGTGTAAAACACAAAATCTGTAACTCATGGAATCAATTATGCAATATCAGATAGTTGTATGTTGCATAAAACTATCTGATATTGTAGATCTGATGTAGATCTTCTGCAGTAGCTTTCATAGGTACCTCAGGAACTGGTTCCAAGGTTCATGGTCACCATGTACAACACCTGTTCATTCTCAGTATTTGGATGACGGTGCAACATTACTTAATAAGTTAAACCATAGTAACAAGCATTTACATATATAATTATTGCACTGTATGTTAGGTAAGACACTGCACTGTATACATGTTTACAGAACAAAGGGACAAAATAGAAGAGAAAAACAAATGTGTTCATACAATAATAGAAATTATCATAAGAGTTAATGTCACCCTCAGCAGCAGGTATATACACTGAGTACAAAAGCACAATATATGTTGTGACCACAGTAAACAATTTTCCCTTACACACCTGCCATTATTGGAAGCACATTCGTGTGTGCAAAAAATTATTAAACTATTAATGAATGTGTAAGAATAGACTAAATATTCATAAAAAGAATTTAGTTATACATGGAAAATGGGGACAGTAAACCGTAATGTGAAACATTAAAATAAAATAAAATAAAATAACTATGTCAGTTGATTATTCCTTCCATCGAGCAATTATTAAATTTGTAAGTTATGTGTTCATTGCATTTACTAATTAACAACCTTATTAATCAGTTCTCTATTTAGCCAGTCAATCTATTCTAAAGAAACTGAAATTTCACATTAACCTGAATGTAATATTATACAGAGGGGAAAATTACAGATGGTTAAAATGGCATCTGACTGGTCATTGGAGAAACATAAAAATCCGTCAGCACACGACTGAAATAAATGATGTTTTATTTCCTACCAAAGACAGACGTATGGGCTAGTGTCTTTCAACTTATTGCACATTATCCACAAGCAGTAAAGAAGTACTGAAGAAAACGTTCAAATGTGTATAATACAAATTACATTCAATTACATTAAACTTGCTATCATTAGAAGCCATTTTAATTTTGCTCGCAATAGAGGTAACTTAACTACCTTACTGATTCGTTCAACGAGAAGAAATTTCAACTACTCAGATATGGGAAACTTGAAGAAATTAAAAATGTGTCAGGGTGTATGACAAATTCTACCCATACAATAGAGCGGAAAAG